CTGAACCTGGACTCAATCCACAGTTGACTACGTGGGTGTCAAGCAATATAATCATTATGCCATCTGCTGGTCCTGTTAACGGATGGGAAAGTGTTGAGCTGCGTTGTGAAATCCTTGGTTCTTTGGGTCCAGATCACTAAAATTAGAGATCTGTCCCTAGGCGCAAAATGAAACTGCAACCACGAATGAAGTAGGTAGAAAAAAAGACTTAATAGAAAGCAAGGAAAGGAAAGCAAGAAAATACACCCAAAAAGATGGCTGGGCGGGCAGATTGCCAGATGACAACCGCGCTTGGTACTAGTTAACCGTTACTTTTATTACTAGAGGTCATGAATATTCATTAGTGGGAGGCTCCTTACGCTGCCTATGTTCTTCCTTTAAATTTGAATCCACACTTTTCCTGCACCTGCGCACCTTCCTCACAGGTAAAGAATGAGGAGCTTGATCACCTAATTGCGCATGTTGCCGGATGCAGCCAGGTTGCCCCAATTAGACTGCCCAGTTAGTCTATTGCCCTAATAGGAATTGGGGCATTGACCAAAAAACGCTTGCTTAGGTTTTTTTTTTTTTTTTTTTGAGAGATTTTTTCACTGTAGGGCGCGTGCGCTCGCCAGACAGACAGAGAGAGACATAGAGACAGAAAGCGAGAAATCACCTCCCAGGGGGGATGGTCACGCCTCAATCCCTTCTCCTCCATTCTCCTTGCTTAGGTCTTTTTGATAAGAGAAAAATCTACGAGTGATCCTGTGTACTTCCCTCAGGCCTCAAGGAAGGAAGATGGCAAATTGCCTCGCCCTCCTGGCACCTGGAGCTAGATGAGCCTTTCGCTTTTCTCTTAGGGCTGCCTGCTCACGGCTAACTAGCTGCCTACCACAGTCCCCCCAGCATGGATTTGAAGCTGCTAGGTCTAGGGCTCGAACCGCACAGCCAGCCACTTTAACCACCACACCTCCTATTGGTCCTGAGTCTTTAGCACTTTTTTTTATTATTTAATTTTATTTATTCTTTCATTTTAATTTGATCAGAGAGACACACACACAGAGACAGACAGAGAGAGAGAGAGAGGGAAAGTGAGAAAGCAAGCCGTCAGGTACGGGACTCAAACCGTGGTTGACCATGTGGGAATGTCCAGCCCCTTAACTACCATGCCACCTACTTGTCCCTCTTTAGCAGTTTTAAGATTTTTTAAAGATACAATTTATTGGCCAACAGGTGGTGTGGAGGTTGGGGAGACTTGATCTTACATGGCCAACAACACGATTTGAGTCCAGGAACTGCAGCTTGAAAACACTGTGAGTTCTTGTGTCATATCATAGTTGCCCAAAGTCCTGAGAGGAGAGTGTAGGAGAATGGATTGCGGTGTGGCCATCCACCTAGGGGGTGATCTCTCTCTCTCTCAATCTCTCTCTCTCTCTCCAGCAAGGACACATCTCTCATAGCAAACCCAAAAATAAATAAACGAATAAATAAGAAAAATTTTTAAAAGATGCAATATACCAAGAAAGAGAGATTATATACCAAGGACTTCAGATGTTTGTGGTAAAATGAAATTAAAGTATGAGTTTATTTTGGTGCGAAAAATTTGAAATTCATACACTTTTTTTTTTTAGTAAGTGACATGTTCCGTGGACCTCATGAAGCCCACTCCCACCCCCACCCCCTCCCAGGACCCTTGGAGTGCCCTCGAAACCCAGCTGCAGTCTGCGGGGCACTGTCAATCTCATGCCTCCTCAGGGAGCTCTGCAGAGTTAGTGCCCGAGAGGGAACCACGGCCCCCGTCAGGTGGGCTGATTCCGAGCCATTGCTGTGCCCCCTGGACGCCTGCTCCCACTCTACCTTGGGGCAGTGCTGTCATCCTCACAGCCGCAGTGAGCAGAGACCGAGCAAAGTCCATGGGACAGACTAATGGAGGCCCCGGGCAGGATGTCCGACGTAGCACTCCAGGGAGTGAGGACAGGAAGGCGGACTAGAGGCTCAGAGCTGGAGGATGATGAGGGAGCAATGCCAGCACTTGCCAGTCTGGTGCTGGGGCACAAAGCATGCCTTGCACTTGCTGTCCTGAGCCCCTCAGTGGGTTCATGGGGAGGCAGGACTTCTCTTTGTCGCAGATCTGAGGGCTGGAAGCTGTCGGTGACTTCTGAGAGCTGCACTTCCTATTCAGTGGTGGCAGCAGAGGCTGGAGTCTGGCTAAAGCCCGACCCACAGGCAGGACAGGAAGTCGGGGCGCGGTGGAGGCTCTCACCAAATCATCACCCATGCAGAGGGGAGCTCCTGGGGGTTTCCTACCTACCGCGGAGCTAGTGGGCCCCTCTCTGGGTCTTAGTACTCTCCAGTCAGGGTGGGGAGCCCCTCCTGAGGGCAGGAAGGCGGCCCAACCCCGGCTGGCACAGAGGCCTGTCTGCGTGCGAGGGAGCAACCGTTTTCCCACGCCGTGGGGTAGGTCCTGGGGGTACTGGTGTTGAGTTCCCTCAGGCACCAGGGAGTACAAGTTAGGGGAAATTCTCAGTAGCACAGACACAGTATTTCCTGTGTATTTGTCACGCTCAGTGTTCCTCACCACTCACACCCAGTACTATATAGGTCCTTGCTTACTGCCCATTAAACCTGCCTGTGCAGTAGAACATGAATACCGAAATTCCATGGCGGTTGGTATTTCAGTGTTAAACATTGTGCTATGCATCTCAGGCTGTGGTATAGAGGTGACAGCGGGGACCTCAGCTGGGGCTTGGGTGGCCTGGGTACACATTGCTGTGTTCCTATGTGTTGTAACGAGTCCAGGACTGTGCAGTGTGGAACGGGGCCTGATCTCAGAGGCCGAGAGGGCTGAATGTGAGGTGTGCCCTCGTCATTTCAACCATGTTCCGGGCCTTGAGGCCTCTGCCCTCCCTGGGACCACAGAGGCTGAGGGCCCCTCAGTCCAGGCTGTAGCCTGCTCGTCCCTGGGGTGTTGGAGATGGGAGGAAGGCCATGGGGAGGAAGAGGCCTTCGCCCTTCCCTCTACACACAGAGGCTGCCCCGCCCCACGGGCTTGGCGCTTACTGAGACAAGGCCTTTTCCTTCCCCAGTCTTCCCCTTTGTGTGCGGGGGCATCTGGGCAGAGCCTCTCCCAAGACTTGTTCTCAGGTCCTGTGTACAGAGCCTGGAGGCTGAGAAGGGGTCTGAAGTGGTGGGGCTCCAGCCTCCCTTCCCTTCTGGGACCTTGGGCTACCTGTGCCTTAGAACTGCACCTGCTTCTCCAGAGTGCGGACCAGTCCAGCCTCGGCCAGGTTCTGAGCCCAGGCAGGTCGCAGGTCTCACCGCAATAGAGAGGCCTGGTCTCGGAGCACAGGAGTCAGCAATTGCCCCAGCTGGATCCTCCCTGCATCTTCCTCCTTCTCTGTCTATGGAATCAAATCCCCCCTCTCCACTTCAGCTGCCCCAGTGCCCTGGTCTCTGTGCTGCGTGGACTCCTGGTGGCCAAGGGCCCGGTGTTGTCAGCCCTGTTTGTGTGTCTGCACTGCAGATGCCACGGGTGAGTGGGGCTGGGCTTGGCCTGGGGGCAGGCAGGGGTGAAATAGAGCAGATGGGGAGCTGTGCTGGGAAAGATGCTCCGTGGGAGGGGATGAGACAAAGACCTTGAAGGGAGGTGGTGAATTTTTATGCTAAAGCAAGAAAAAAGTTTTTGATCTTTTAAAAAATAATTATGAAAAAGAAAAAAAAAAGGGGGGGGGACCAGCAGTTAGCGTAATGGCTATGTCGCTGGACTCCTACGTAGTCGACCGCAGTTCACATCCCAGACCCGGTGGCTTAAACTCACGCTGGGCGTGTGTGCGTGAGTGCCCAAGATCCCAAGAGGAGAATGGAGGAGAAGGGATTGCAATGTGGCCATCCCCCCGGGGGGTGATTTCTCGCTTTTTATCTTTCTGTCTCTCTCTGTCTGTCTGGCAAGCACACGCGCTAGCAAAAAATAAAAAACTCTCCAAAAAAAAAAAAAACACATTATATTTAAAGTGGTTTTTAAAGTGTATATATTTCTTCCATGAGCAAAAGAGATAGAGAGACAGGCACCCCCAACAGTGTCTTCATGACATAATTCACCTCCAGCTTCAGGCAGCTTTGGATCGTGGGTATGTGTACGCTTGGTGTTCTCAGGGAGGTCTCTGGACACGAACCCAGAACCTTCTCATGTAGGTTAGCCTTGCAGAGCATCGTGTTACTGCTGTGCCACCATCTGGCCCTCTATAAATTTTTTTTTTTTTTTTGGAGAGATTTTCACTGTAGGGGGGCGGCGCCCGCCACAACGGGTGCGTGCGCTCGCCAGACAGACAGAGAGAGACATAGAGACAGAAAACGAGAAATCACCCCCCAGGGGCGATGGTCACGCCGCAATCCCTTCTCCTCCATTCTCCTCTCGGGATTTTGGGCACACACGCACACGCGCCCAGCGTGAGTTTTAAGCCACCGGGTCCGGGACACGAACAACAGTCGACTACGTGGGAGTCCAGCGACATAGCCATTACGCTAACTGCTGGTTCCTTATAAATATTTTAAATGGTAAGGGAGATGGGATGAGAAAAATGGACAAAGCAGTGGACCCAGCTGTTGGGTACCCTGAAGCCAGAACCAGTGGGTGACAGCCCTGGGCATGAGGTTGAGTGTGGCCTCCCTGTGGTCAGCTAGGTGAGGACAAAGACTATGAGGACAACCCAAACTTGAATGAAAGCAGCGGGGAACTGGACTACACGCCTCACAGGAGAGAAGCCTGAAGAGAAGAGATTTAAACAAATGTGGCACCAGGCCTGTGGTCAGGCAAGAGCTCCTGATGACAGCTACAGGAGCTGGCAAGGGAGCGGTCAGTGGCCTGCTGGACGCCTGGACAGCAGAGGTGCAGGGGCTGTGGACAAGTCTGCAGAGAGAGTCCCCCAGAGGAGCACGAGAGTCACTGGGCTGTCCCCCAGGCCCGGTCCCCCAGATCCTCACAGGGACCCTGACCTGAGCCTGGGTTAGTTTAACTGCCTTAAGATGCATCCAGTATACGTTTTCCAGGTACCCCAAGGGGTAGGAGTGGGGTGAGCCACCACAAACACCCTTGTTATTGCTGTCTCTGGGATCCGAAGTTGGAGCTGCCTCCAAACACTCATCCGGGTCACCCCAGGGAGGCTAGTGTCAATGTGGCAAAAGTGAATTCAGTTCAAGGCAATTCACTCAGGAAACGTACCCAGAGCCATGAGGAGTGGACCTCCAGAATCCAGCCAACCTACAGCTCAGTGCTGTCATCTGAAAATCACATGGAGGGACAGCTCCTATTTCACTGGATTAGTGAGGGGATGATGTGAAATATTATATGTAAGAGTTTGGTCTTAATATACTAGACTATTATTGTTAAGTAAAAAAAGAATTTGGGCCAGCCAGTGGCATAGTGGTTGAGGTGACTGGATCCCATATGACCAACTGTGTGGTTTGAGTTGCAGACTCGTGGCTCAAAAAACATGCCAGGTGTGTGTGTGTGTGTGTGTGTGTGCACGCACATACCCAGAATACCAAGAGGGAAGTAGAGGAAAAGGGGTCATGGCATGGTCAACTCCCTCAGAGATGACTTCTCACTTTTTGTGGTTCTCTCTCCAGAGAACACACACACCCTCTAGCAAACCAAAAAGAAGAGAAAATAAAAGAATTCTAGCTTGTTTGCATTGAAAAAAATACTTTTTTTGCACTGTATGGGTCTATTAAGGGAGTTATAACATCTCTAATGTATATTTGTTCTTAAGGGTGGTCTCGTCATTTTAAAAATTAAAAACCAGGCAGCAGAAGGGTAAGGTCAGACTCATATTTACTTTAGATCATTAAAGTGTCCTGAAAGTGAAACAAGAGGGCATATTTTTTAGTGAGTTATTAATCTCAAATGTGTACACTGAGTTTTAGAGTTTGAGGCATCTAAGTCATAAACTCATGCTGTAAATGACTTGGACTCTGGAAACACATACCCTCTTTTCTGTACCTGCTGGGGCTCTTTGGGCTCTGACATTTCTGAGCAAATTGCCAACCCTCTAAAAGCCTCTGTTTACTTCTTTTTAAAAATGAATATATAAATGTGTGTGTGTGTATTAAATGGGTATATAGATATATCTTTTAAAAAGTGATATATACATACAGCCAAGTGATCTTTGACAAAGGGTACAGGTCAATTCAGTGGGAAAAGGAAAAAACTGGGTATCCACCTGCAGAAAAATGAACCCCTTTATGTCACCACTAGCAAAAATCAACTCAAAGTGGATCAAAGGTCTAAACCTAAGACCTCAAACTATAAAACTGGTGGAAAACACTGATTGCAGCTTTATTCACGATTGCGGTAGACAAAATCTGCTCAGTCAGAAAAGCGCTTGCACAACTATATTGCAGCTTTATTCACGATTGCTAAGACATGGAACCAACCCAAATGTCAACGAACAGAAGAATGGATTGAAAACATGTGGCACATATAATACTATTATATATGTTATATAATATATTATTATAATACTCCATGGAATACTGTTCAGCCATAAAAAACAACAAGGCCCTGGAATTTGCTAGAAAGTTCATGTATATGGAAGATTTATTGCTGAGTGAAGCAAGTCATGCTATGAAAGAGGGATATCGTATGTCTCCACTTACATACTGACTGTCCACACTATGTGGTAGAGACTGAAAGTCTGGAGGATATAAAAGCATTAAAAATTGTTATGGACACTAGAGACAAAGTGGAAAGAGAGTGTGGAAGAGGAAGAGCATAGGAAAGGAAATTTGGGGGAAACAATAGAGAAGTAAGACATTCGTGGGACACAGATATGGTTTATTATCTGTTGATGAGGATGTGTATAGTATTCCCAACTGGGC